GCGAGAGGAGCATAAAGAGTAAAGTTTGTAATTAGCAGAAATGCAGCGCTTCTAAACAGCAGCAAACACAAACTGTTCATGTGTGCAGTGTGTCTGCTAAAGGTCCCACTGCTGCATTTTAAAGAGCGAACTTCAATCAGATGGAGAAAGATAAGAAAGAAGGACAGGAGAGGAAGAAGAGAGGTTTGTTGCTGAGGACTGCTCAGCTTGCATCAAGTGCTCATGGCTTCAAATCAGATACTGGGTCTGTACATGTGAAATGTGCTACAAAATAAACTAAGGTAAACAAACGGTGTTATTTAAAGGTTAAAATAATCTGCAGTTTAGTTCAGGATGAACTGGTTAGCTCGGAGTAATGATGGATTCAAATGAAGATCATGGTCTGATTCAGGTTACATTATAGCAGGGACCTTCATGCTGTTAAAGTCAGGACAGCTGTTGACAGTTTTCACAAAGTCAAAGGCATCAGTCCGATTGTGCTGACAGAAGCTAGATGTGACACATTTTTCTAACCCGCTGACAGAGAATTCAGGTTCAGGCGACTCCGGAGGAGCAGGAACATCAGGCTGTGAGGAGGACATGGTTTAGGTTCCAGAAGATTTAATCAGAACTATTAACTCTGCGAATGATCGCACCCTGCTGTCCCGGGCGTCCTGAATAGAGTGGACGGATCAAACTCGGTCCGCTGAGTCAGGTTTGCTAGCGGGATCGTTCTGTAGGTAGGCGCCCCTCTACTGAAAATTCACCCGGTTTACGTCCAATAAGAAAGTGCATCCATAATCCAAACTTTACCCTGCAGAGTTAAAGAAAGATCAGTGCTCTTATTCTTGTGTCTGTCATTCATGATAAACCCAATCACGTCCACGACTTTAAATCAATATTTTTAGCTCGGATGAAAGAAATGTCATGGAGAGAACTCCGGATGTTTCATAAGCCACTGATCATGGTAGCAAAGGGATATCGTTGAGTGCAACACAAACTCCTGGTCATTAAAAATCATTTCTTGAGTCTTGGAAGGTTTGACGGCTAACAGTGGTTCTCTGATAATGAAATATGTTTAAATAAATATTTATGCAAGGACATCAAAAACACACGGTGTGTTATTTCTGCGGGGGTGCCCGTGTATCTGTCACTGTGGAAACCCATGCACATATTTGCTTAGAAATGTTGCAATTACAAATCTCCCAAGTCATCAAACAGACTGGAAAGAGCGAGCAGAGGATCACACACAATGGTGGCTTCTGGGTACACACTGAGTGGAACTGTAGCTGGTACTGAGTGGACCCCCACACCCACCCAGTTCAAAGAAAATATGCATACATACAGGATTTGCTCCCTTCCTCAAGTCTTAATTTTTGAGTAGGTTTTCAGATGCTGACAGATACGTAACAGGTACATGTTTCAGATCATCAGAATCAGAATCAGAATCAGAATACTTTATTGATCCCTGGGGGAAATTATTTTTTGTTACAGTGCTCCATTTTAAACCAACATTAAGACAAGACAGACAATACGCTAACTAAGAATAGTACAATATATACATATATATACATACATACATACATAAGTCACTCATAAATAAATAGTTGGAAAAGAAACATGTGTAGTTGTAGCAGCAAACAGTGTGTTAAGTGGATGCGTTGTACAGGGAGATGGCCACAGGCAGGAATGATTTCCTGTGTCGTTCAGTGGTGCTTTTCGGTAATCTCAGTCTCTCACTGAACGAGCTCCTGTGACTGACCAACATGTCATGGAGTGGGTGGGAGGTGTTATCCAACATTGTCTTTATCTTGGACAGCATCCGCCTCTCCGACACCACCTTGAGGGAGTCCAGCTCCATCCCCACAACATTGCTGGCCTTACGGATCAGTTTATTAAGTCTGTTGGCATCTGCGACCCTCAGCCTGCTCCCCCAGCATGCAACAGCATAGAGGATCGCACTGGCCACCACAGACTCATAGAAAATCCTCAGCATTTTCCGGCAGATGTTGAAGGACCTCAGTCGCCTCAAAAAATAGAGACGACTCTGGCCCTTCCTGTAAAGTGCTGTGGTGTTTTTAGCCCAGTCCAGTTTATTGTCAATGTGTACTCCAAGGTATTTATAGTCCTCCACAATGTCAACACTGACCCCCTGGATTGAAACAGGGGTCAAGTGTTTCCTGGTCTTCCTGAAGTCCACGATCAGTTCCTTGGTCTTTGCCACGTTGAGCTGCAGATGATTCTGCTCACACCACGTGACAAAGGAGTCGACCACAGCCCGGTACTCTGTCTCATCATCCCTGCTGATGCATCCAACCACCGCAGAGTCATCAGAAAACTTCTGAAGATGGCAGGTCTCTGTGCAGTGGCTGAAGTCTGTGGTGTAGAGGGTGAAGAGGAAGGGGGAGAGGACAGTCCCCTGTGGTGCCCCTGTGTTGCTAATCACCTTGTCAGACACACACTGTGGGAGACGTACATATTGTGGTCTTCCTGTCAGGTAATCAACAATCCAGGACACCAGAGAAGCATCCACCTGCATCGCTGCTAACTTATCACCCAGGAGGGTCGGCCTGATGGTGTTGAAAGCACTGGAAAAGTCAAAAAACATGACCCTCACAGTGCTCGCCGGCTGGTCCAGATGGGTGTAGACACGATTGAGCAGGTAGATGATGGCGTCCTCTGTTCCGAGACGAGGCTGATAAGCGAACTGAAGGGGATCCAGATGTGGTCTTACTATGGGTCGCAGCTGGTCCAGGATGAGCCTTTCCAGGGTCTTCATGATGTGGGAGGTCAGTGCCACGGGCCTGTAATCCTGGGGGCCACTGGGACGAGGCGTCTTTGGTACAGGGACGAGGCATGATGTCTTCCACATCACCGGGACCCTCTGCAGACTCAGACTCAGACTCATACATGTGTTAATAGTTAACATGTGTTTGTTAACAATCAGAAAACTCAACAAACTGTTTAATTTGGTATCTATCACACTCCTGGCCCTGACTCAGTTTCACTCTAGCTCTTATTTTGACACATGGCACAGACACTGAGCATTTAACAGCGTGTCCTGAAGTCCCTCGTTTGTCTGTTTCTTAATAACAATGAAATGTACAGTAATTAATTACACATCAGTGGGGATTATATTAACACATCAATGCACTCCAGTTTCTTTGTGTAACTGGGGAGTCTTCTTCACTCTCAGGTTAATTATGTAACACAGTATAATTTACATTATACATTAACAGTAGAATGGGAGGCAGAGCCTTCAGTTTTCAGGCCCCTCTTCTGTGGAACCAGCTTCCAGTTTGGATTCAGGAGACAGACACTATCTCTACTTTCAAGATTAGTCTTCAAACTTCCCTTTTTGCTAAAGCATATAGTTAGGGCTGGACCAGGTGACCCTGAATCCTCCCTTAGTTATGCTGCAATAGACGTAGGCTGCCGGGGGACTCCCATGACTGTTTCTTCTTTGTCACCTTTGTCTTCATGCACCACTCTTCATTTAGTCATTTAGTGATTATTAATCTCTGGCTCTCTTCCACGGTGTGTCTTTGTCTCGTCTTCCTCCATTCACCCTACTTGTTCATGGCAGATTGCCGCCCTTCCCTGAGCCTGGATGGGCCAGAGGCTTCTTCCTGTTATAAGGGACCTTTTCCTTTCCACTGTCGCCAAAGCGCTTGGTCATAGGCAGTCATCTTGGGTTTCTCTGTATTATTTCCCTCGAGGCACCTCTTGTTGTGACTTGGTGTTATATAAATAAAATTGAATTTTTCATGTTCAATCTTGCCTCTTAGTGTGTGAGACACCAATGATGTGCCCGGGGCAGTCAGTGTCTCTTTTCGGATGCTGAATCAGAAGATTACCAGAACAGCCCCTGAGCCACACACACACACACACACACACACACACACACACACACACACACACACACACACACACACACATCAGGAAAGACGGAATACTCAACCGGAAAAAAAGGGCCAAAGGGCACCCTGATACCTGCACAGCTGTGTAATAAGTATTGAGCTGTCAACAATTTCTAAAGGTGCTGCTGACATGAAATGTTTTATTAGGTTTCACTGATAACCCAGATCATGCTAAGAAGTCAAACCATCAATGTCCATAGATGAGTCATGTGTAATAATGAGAAGTACTAAACTCTTGAAAAAGAGAGGTGCAAAAAGGCACGGAAAGCCACGACAACAGCCTAAATGCATCAGATATTAGAAAACAATCCTTCCACTTAGTACAAAGAGCCACGTCCGAGAGCCGAGGACGACGTGTGGAGAGCTCCAGAAGGAACTGGAGTCAATAGGTACAGTTGTTTCAAAGAAAACAATAAGTTATGCACCCAGTCACCATGGAGTGTATGTCAGTATCACCTTTAGAACAATAGTTAGAAAACTGGTGGCAAAAATGTTTCATAGCAGTTCAAATAAGAGATCTGCAGCAGCAACAGTAACATGCAGCTCGATGCTTCAGTATTATGCAAATGTGACTCACAATAATATGTAAGATCAAACCATGCAATTAGGGTCATGATTTGTTTGACAAAGATAGAATTTGTGTCGTTTTGCTTTGGTACAGCACCACAGAGGATTTTAAATCAGTCAGTATGTGATTGAATTCCAGACTTTCAGCTTTAATTTAAGCGGTTTTACAAATATTTTACATAAACTGCTTTAGAAATGAAACGAAACGTACGTGTAATGGCCAGAACACAGCCAAATGACAGCTAAGCGTCACAGTGGGATTGCTCCTTTCGTGCTTTCGTCATCTGTCCTTCGCAACCTAACACGCCACTAGTCCCGCCTTTATCACTATGTAACGCAAGTGGTATTTTTGAGAACCCCTGTTATTTGTAAATAGTTATAAAGTAACACAAGCATTAATATAACAATCAGCCTTATTTCATGATCTGATACGTACTTGTATAATGAAGCCGTATATAGCCTTAAAAACTACTTGGTTTAGTTGCACGTCAATCAAAACTGTGCAATCATGTTCGGTTGAGAGTGTAGAGCTTTTCCACGTCAGTGTGTTTACTAAGAGCAGAGTGACAGCTGGAAGGTGTAGACTTTACTGACCTGTCGAGCATTTTTAAGCGAATGAAGAGCCGGTGTTTGGGAATATTTCGCTATCGCACTGTGGGATGTCCGACCTTTTTGCTTTGTTTCATTGCGGAGACTGAACTGAACTCTGGTCTTTTTCATTCACTCTTGGCCGGCTAGCCTACTAGCTTACCGAGCAAGGCTAGCATTAGCTATAGAAGGACTTCATCTGCGATACAACCGCCCTAGACAGGTAATATATTCATTTCAAATGGACAACAGAAGCGTTTTATGTTTTACTCAGCGGAAGTTTATCCTAAGCAAATCAGGGACGTACATAGTGGCTTGGATGATGAAAACACAGCTACCAGTAGCTAAATAAGATGCTAGCTAGTTAAGCTAAGTAGGTAGCATGCAGGTAATTGGTCCCGTAAATTGCTCATTTACATTTGAGTTCGTCAGAACGTCGATTAAACTTAAGTCTGACGCCATGTTTTTCTTTTGCTCAAATGATAAATGCCTTTCAATGAGAGAGAGCCTGTTGAGTTTGTCTTTAAGGAGATACTGCCTAATCTAATTAGCCACATAGCATATTAGATTATCAGAAGCTTGCATGGCTGAGTTTATTTTTTGTTTCTTTTTACACTGATTGATAAAATTGTCTGCATTCTGACACAGAGGTTGAATCACCGGAAGTTACTTGTAATCCAGACACAGGCTAAAAATACCACTTTCCCCCAAAACAAGCACAAACTGTTCCATAAACACTGTTACTTTTTACTCAGCTTGTTTATGGGGTTGGTATTATGTGATTTTTCTTTCTGTCTAAGGAAATATTACCATTTTAAAGGGTTGGTACAAGTTAACCATAAAAATGTTTTCCTGCACATAAAAAATCCTGGCACCCCATCAAAGATGTTTTGGTTTCCACCAAATAAAAACCAGAACTGTGACAAAGATATTTATTTGTCAGGTTTCATTAGCTGAACCTAAAATACATTTCATTTTTGTTGCTTGTGTCAGCTGTTGTTGGAGATGAGACATGAATATATGAGGCCAATTGATTATGATGACTGTAATTACATTAATTTAATTAATTTAATTTAACAATAGTAAAATGTGCTAAGCTTAATTGGTGAGTTGCTGCTGCTGCATATTTTGACTATCGTTGATGCCCGACATCATCGTCCATAAGCACGACCCTAGTGACATCACCAGCCCCTGAGATGAACATTATAAGGAGCAGGTAGGACAAGGTGTCACTAAATAAAGGCCCCTGCACACTGAGGACACTACTAAAACAAAGTTACTTAGGTGTGGAACAAGGTGCCTTTACTTTGTAAATTAGGGATGTTTTGGCAACTAATTTCCTAGTCAATGAAATGCTCAAAGATTAGTCCACATCTGGGCGTTGTATGGCCCTGGACCACATCCAGCCTTGTAGTTATCTCTGACTCGCCCACGTGAGGACATTTGGGAATTTGGATTCAAATTTACATATGTACATTTGTGCACGTGAATGCAGCTTCAGTGTAAATGCATTGGGACTGATGTGTATGACAGATGTGAGTGTGCTGTCAGCTCACATTTAAAAAAACAAAAACAAAGGAAAAAACCCAAAGATTTCTCAGCCGGAAAAGGGTGGAGTGGCCACTCCGGGTCGGGGATGAGTTCCTCCCACAAGTGGAGGAGTTTAAGTATCTTGGGGTCGTGTTCGCGAGTGATGGGAGAAGGGAGCGGGAGATCGACAGACGGATTGGTGCTGTGGCTGCAGTGATGTGCACGCTGTACCGGTCCGTCGTGGTGAAGAGAGAGCTGAGCGTAAAAGTGAAGCTCTCAGTTTACCGGTCGATCTACGTCCCTACCTTCACCTTTTGGTCACGAGCTGTGGGTAGTGACCGAAAGAATCCCCGGGCCACTGACCGGTACCGTCGTTTGGTACCAGGTCCCGAGAGTTGAGGCTCAGGTGTGAAATTTATGGTCTTCAGGGTTTTTATTGTTAACTCCGTTTCCTGGGTCTTTTCCCGTGTTGTAGTTGTGTCTTATTTTGAAAGTAATATTTACACGTTACCATAGCGACCAGAGAGCATTAAGGGACAGAGAGGAGGATGTTACTCTCAATGTTGTTGGCGCATTTCAGAAGGACTAATAAAGTTACACACTTACAAAGTGAATTCGCGTTTATTATTATATTTACAAAATACCACCGTTTTTGTCTTGGTCGGATCATTTTATTTTTTTGTATTTATCAGCCACACCTTGAAGGCCGGCCAGTTTGGTTTATTGGTCAGCTGACGCTAGTACTTATGACTCTATTACCTCAATGTCCATTCTGTGGCTGTTCACTGTAGTTTAGGTAGGTGGAGGATGTTTGTGCTTGTGGAAGTCAACCAGCAGCTCCTTTGTTTTCTCACCTTTGAGATGGGGGTGGTTCCGGTACCACCAGTTGACGGCGTCCTCAGTCAGTTCTCTATAGTCCCTGTTGTCCTCATTGGCGATGAGGCCAACAATTGCTGAGTCATCAGAGAACTTCTGAAGGAAGCAGATACCAGAGTTGAAGAAATCTGGGGTGTATATGTTGATTATGAGCTTACTTACGATAGCCAAGTTAGGGTAACTTATAAATCGTGAGTATTGTGACTGCTGAAGATGTTTCATATTTCTAATATTATCATATGTAAATGTTAGAATTATTTGTTAAACAATTTAAAACTTTAATAACCTTACAATAAAACAACATCTCAGATTTAATCATTTTGAAACAAAGTGTAAACTTTCCATAACTTTGTATTGTAAGGTTTTAGGGTGGTTTGTTTCCCGGCTCAGGCATTACTGCTCGACTATGATAGAGTTGGGTGATCCAAGTGCAATTTCCTGACATGTCCTCTTTTATTACATAAGGGTCCAACCACAGATAACCTTGTATCTGTCCATTACCAGCATTTCACTTCTATAAATCTTCCAAGTTTGTGTGGTTTTTCCATGTCACCTGATGCAGCTTTCTCTACCGCATTTTTAACATCCTTATGTTTATCACCACACTGTGTTTATGTGCTGAAAGAGAAATAATTTCCTTCCTTGTAATAAAAAACAATTCTGAAGTGTGATGTCACTAACTTGGACAGTTTGGGAACTGTGGTGGTTTGTCTCGAAACAACCATTTCGACTTTTTTCTGGAAATACAAACTAGATTTTCAACTTTAGTTTCTAAATTTCAACTCTAATACTAGCTCTAATACGCCATCTTTTTTTAAAAAAAAAAAGGGACCTAATGATTCTGTCCTCTTCTTTATGTAAGACTGTAGATGTAGTTGTCTCACCCAGATGTAAGAACTAGAGACCTCTGACTTTCTGCATATGCTGTGGGGGAAATACAGACCCGTTAACAACTGTGGCTCATGAAATGAATGTCTGGTAATTCTTCCAGACTGCTGTCAGCTCCTGAGCATTGGGCTCATTCTCTTGCCAATATCTACTTAATATTATTATCCCTTTTTTTTTTTTTCCATCAGCTATACGCCTGTCACTGTATCCAGCTATTTACACTTATATCTGGGTGTTATTTTAAATAGGCTGCTTTCTGTGTATTCAAAAAATGAATGGTATGAAAAATTGCCATGAGAGTCATGGCAAAAGGAACAAGGTTAATCCAACTATTCAGACCTGTACTGCTTGTCAAATATAAATCACATGTCATTTTGATTCTGTTTGGTTATCCATATTGGCTTTAGGCATTGGAAAGCCAGACACGGAAATTTGCTGTTTGCTTCTTATATTCGATGCACATTTACTGGTCATAGTTCTTAGACTTAAACTTGAAGCTTGAAGACTTAACTTTCATATAGTTTTTGTAGAAATTTGGTATTTGACATTGAATTTTTTTTAAGTCTCACACATAAAATGACACAGTATACCTACTCAAATTTTTATTGGAACCTATCTGTTCGAATAGTATGATCAATAATGTATGTTTCTTCTTTTTTTTTTTTTTTTTTTTTTAAATATCTATGGTTTGACTTGAAAAGCATACCGGTGGTGCATCTGCTAAAAATCGTGGACTAGTTTAAATCCTGGTGACCAAGGGCCGTTTTCTGAAAAATATATTGACAACAATAAGTTGGGGAAAGATGTCACCTAGGATTTATAAAAAATAACATGGGTGCATCTACTAGGAGGCCGAGGGGTAGCACTGGCGACCACCAGTATTTTTACTGGATGCCGCCGTCAATACTACCAGATTGACGGCAGCAAAACTGGTATGGTAGATAACATCACCCCCACCCAAGACCCCGAGTGTGATGGAAGAAGGATCATTGAGTGTGAGAGAAACTGACCTGAGAGATGGGATCATAGCGAAGCTTGAAACCTGGATCCTCCCTAGCCGGTTACCACGACTATGTAAAGTATCCTCTGAAGATCTACTAGATGATGTGAATGAGCACATGGCTCAAAACATGAGCGGGGCACAGAAAGGGATGGGTAATAATACCAGAGTAGGTAAACACCAGCTGCTGGTAGATCAAGCAGTCGTCCGAGACTGCAAGACTAGACTGACCAAACTGTGCCCTTTCTGGATTGATTACAAGAAGGCCTGTGACTCGATGCCCCACACATGGATCCTGGAATACCTAGAACTAAACAAGATGAACAGGACCCTAAGAGCCTTGATCAGGAACTCAACGGGGATGTGGCGGACAACACTAGAGGCCAACTTCAAGGCCATAGCACAAGTCACCATCAAGTGTGGGATCTACCAAGGAGACGCTCTGTCCCCACTGCTGTTCTGCATAGGCCTGAACTGACTACAGATACCGACTACGGGATGGAGCAGTTGTCAATCACCTCCTGTACGTGGATGACATCAAGCTGTTTGCCAAGAGTAAACAAGACATTGATTCACTGATCCACACCACCAGGATATACAGCAAAGACAAAGGAAGTCGTTCGGACTGGAGAAGTGTAGTCAGATGGTAACAAAGAGAGGGAAGGTAGTCAGAACTGAGGGGACTGAACTACCAGAAGGCAACATTGCAGACATGGAGGACAGTTTCAAGTACCTGGGGATCCCGCAGGCAAATGGGAACCATGAAGAGGCCGCTAGGAAAGCTGCAACCACCAAGTACCTGCAGAGGGTCAGGCAAGTCCTGAGGAGTCAGCTGAATAGCAAGAACAAGATCCGGGCTATCAACACCTACGCCCTGCCCGTGATCAGGTACCCTGCTGGGACAATAAGCTGGCTAAAGGAGGAGATAGAAGCCACTGACATCAAGACAAGGAAGCTCCTGACGATGCATGGAGGGTTTCACCCCAAATCCAGCACCCTGAGGCTGTATGCTAAGCGGAAGGAAGGAGGCCGGAGGAGACAACGACCATCCACGAATACATCAGGAACATGGCTCCAACTGACCACATGGTCAGTGAATACCTCAGGCAGCAGAAACCCGAGGAAGAGGAGGAACCATCATGGATGGACAGGCCCCTGCACGGTATGTACCACTGGCAGATAGCGGAGGTGGCTGACATCCAGAAATCTTACGAGTGGCTGGACAAAGCTGGACTGAAAGGCAGCACAGAGACTAATCATGGCAGCACAGGAACAAGCTCAGAGCACAAGATCCATAGAGGCTGGGGTCTATCACACCAGGTAAGACCCCAGGTGCAGGCTGTGTAAAGATGCCCCTGAGATAATCCAGCACATAACAGCAGGGTGCAAGATGCTAGCAGGCAGGGCATACATGGAACGCCATAACCAAGTGGCCGGCACAGTGTACAGGAACATCTGTGCCGAGTGTGGCCTGGAAGTCCTGAGGTCAAACTGGGTGGTGGTGAATGACCGAGCTAAGATCCTGTGGGACTTCCATGTTAAAAACTTAAATTCTTCTGTGATTATTTTATTAAGGGTGAAAAAACCTCGATGACTTTCACTAAGAAAGACTTACAGACAGGCAGAGATGGTGGCTGCCTGCTTGGATGGATCTTTAAGAGGTGACGATAGTTTCAGTGCAAATGAAACGCTGCAGCTGAACAACAAGCACTAAAATGAGAAAATCCCTCTTTTGAACGTTGTATTTTCCTAAACTTTATCACAGAAAAAATTATTGTTTTTGTAACAGTGATTTGTAAATACGTTCTGTCAGTGATTCCTTGAATACCATTTACATGTGATAAAATCAGGGCTGGCATCGAGAGGATATTTGGGCTGGGGTTTGGAAGTCGCTGGCTTCTGTGGGGGTGGGAGCGCTCTGAATGGTCACCCACTGTGTGACAAAGGAACCCACTGTGATGCTAATGACAGCCTGTGCTTTCTTACCTGTCTGTAAAAGTCACAGCAGGCAATTTACTGCATTTTAACATGATGCAATCCATACTTCATTAGTAAAGCTACTGTCAAGTCATCCATTCAATATATTTTTACCAATTGTGTTATAAAAGTGTTCATTTATTTATTCACCGTTAAAATACCATATTACATTTTGATTTTGCATTGTATATAAGAACATTAGCAGTGCAATAAAAGCCTCGTTTTATGCTTTCATGTTCAGAAACACAAGTCGACAATAATCAGAGAACACAAACGGTGTTGGCGACTGTCAAGCCTTTGAGTCGCCGAGCAGCTGAATAGGGGAATAATGTTGACGCGCCCGCTGTTTAAAACGTTAGTCAAAGTTCCAAGTTAAAACTCCTTTATTTGTTATCAAATCCTTAAAATCCGTAGAAAAACAGTGAACAAAAACATTCCAAGCTTGAGCGGTCAGCAAAAGTCGACTTCCCCCATCACCCACTCATTCACAAAATTTCCCTCGGGCCGTGAACAGGTGATATAGCAATCACTATTACTGACACCACGTGACCAAAAGCTACGCCTATCCACAACAAACAGTACTTTCTGTCTGGCTGCTTCGCTGCGCACAGCCTCTATTTTATTTGCTGCAAACACATATCCAGGTATGAGTCTGTCATAATTAAAAAAAACCCTGAACAAGTATAAACATATAGTGTAGCAGCCTGTAAATGACTGCAGCGCCACACTGCTCCCCCTGGTGGATACATTAGACATTACCACTGGTTTTCCTAGCCGTTTAGCAGCGTTACTACTCCATGGTTGCCTCATCCACGTCACAGGCAGGGGCTATCATTACGGTCACCCATCTGCCGGCAGTCAGTCAGAATTCCTTCATGGTCCTGTCAGGGAGAAGGCAGCAGTACACATCTTTCAGTGGCTGTATCTGTCCATGGTCCATCCTTTAGCTCCAGTCCCTCCTGCGCCCTCAGCCCAAAGCCTAATGTTCTAAATTCAGCAGGTATCCAATCATTATTTTCCCCAGCGTACTTTTTACACTGGATGCCCTTCCTCTACCTACAATTGAACAAGTAACCTTTCACTTGCTAAGTGAACGTAAATCAGTGTAGCATGGAGCCACAGATGAAGAGCCGCATTATAAACGCCTGTAGAAATGGCCTTTCAGTGACTTCAGGTTATTTAGCCTGGCTCTAGAAGTGACCATATGCTATTATGTGTTTTCTGTCAGGAAGCAGCATGGTGGATAAGAACATCTACATCGTCCAGGGTGAAATTAGCACCGTTGTTGGAGCCATAAAGAGGAACTCCAGATGGAATACCCACACTCCACTAGTAAGTTCAACACAAGCGTGTTATGTGTTGTTTTACACAGTTAGTTAGATTTACTAACAATATGAAAAAGTGACCAGCGTGAACGTGATGAGCTCCAGCTTGGCTGTATGTCTGTCTACAGTCAGTCTGCTTCAGGGCCAAACAGTAAACCCATAATACTGATAATACTGTGTGTAAGTGTTTTCTTACCAATCAGATTCTGTTCTTTACCCAGGACGAAGAACAGGACCCATTACTCAACAGCTTTGGCAATCTCAAGGACATCCTGAACACCATAAAAGGTACGTGGCCTTATTTAGGCTGTGTGCTAATTTGAATTCCACTTTAAATACTGAAAGATTTGATTTTTGAGTCACAGCTTCACTGGAGAACCTTCAATCTGTAAAAAGTGTTATGAATTCGTATTATTGAACAGATACGAGTCTGCAACTGTTCATCAAGATTTGCTTTGTTGGTTATCTTATTTTCAGGACTTCCACATACTTACAAGTTTATTTATCAAATGACCTGAAGTTGAAGTTAAAGGACAGGTCCACTGTTCTTCTGTAAATCACCATGGCATAGATCTGTTAGAACGTGCTATATATGGGTTTAGCTCAGGAGGCAGAGCAAATGATCTGCCAATTAGAAAGTTGGTGGTTTGATCCCAGGCCGGGTGCTAAAGTGTCCTTGGGCAGGATACCGTACACTCAGTGGAGAGTGTATAAATGTTAGAAAGCACCAGAGCGTAGTGTTGTTGAGTGAGGCATGTTGTATAAAGTGGAAAGAACGATTTACGTTACGTAATGACTCACTGTGTTTTGATTCCTGCAAATGTGATGATGACATTTTTGACCTTGACCACAGAATTTTTTTAATTTTTCAATAAATGCCAAATGTACCATGTATACATGTATATAAATAAATGGCCTGGCCTGTATTTATATAGCGCTTTACTAGTCCCTAAGGACCCCAAATAGAGCTCCTGTGGACTTGCAGAGCAGCTGACAGTCTATGTGACTCATGTTTTCATGCTTCATGTGTGAAAATGTCAGAGATCACAATAGGTCGCCTATTATATTGACTGGCTCTAAATGGGATCTTTTTATCTAACATTACTCTTAGCCAACAAAAGAAATGAGCAGGAGCGAACCAGCAGTTTGTATTTTACTGTTTCGTTCTAGTTGCTCGAGGAGTCTGAAAGCAAAGTGTTAACAGTGATCAGTGATGTCTACACAGATCAGGTCAAGCAGGCATTTGTTGCTCTTGTTGATAGCACATCTGTAACAGCCGTCAGGCTACGATGAGAGTTACAGTAGTGCTGTTACAAATGTGCAGGGAAGGGTTGGGTGGCTTTATGAAATGATGGTTTCCAGTTTAACTACCTGAAGCTGCTGGCCACCCAAGGTGCAGAGGGTGTAGTGCACATACCCCAGGGCACACCCACACTTGTGTTTCCAGTAGATTCAGGTTGTGCCATTGGATGTTGTAGTAACATTGTTACTGAGTGGGACCAGTTATTCACGAGTCCTCGTGTCTGTAAGTACAATGGTGGTGCTGAAGCCCCGCCTCTCCGTCAGCTGGCCTGCTCTTTCTGAGCGGTCCAAGCTGGCTCCGTCCCGCATGTTGTCATGCCTTTGGAGTGAGAATCCTGGCAGCTCCCATGGCCCTGCAGCTCTGGGCAGTGGGAAAGATGAAACACACACAGCACTAAGCCCCCACCGCTGCTGCTGCCTTCCTCCAGGGAATGCCTCTGCCACTGTGAGATGGACAGGCACTGCTGGCTGAGGAGGAATCCACAACACGGGCTCACCCTCCTCTTTTCTTTTCCTCCTTCCATAAGCTTTTCCCTTCAGCCATCAAATCACCAACCTCACTGCCTGCATTATAGTTCTGTGTTTGACCAGACTGCAAGTTGAATGTAATGCTGGATTATTCTTTTTTTCTTTTTTAGACATTTGCATTAAGTAATGACTTGATGTCAAGAATGTTTGAAGGCCTTGTTCCGTCCTTAAGTCCAAATCTCCTGTGCAGTCAGCCTGTCAAATGTTTCATTCATACTTGGGTTAGAGGAATAACCGCAGCAGAGCCAAAGTGCTTGAGAGACTGATCAATTTGTTTTGTTTTTCGCAGCAGCACAACAGCCTAATAAACCTTTCACACAGAACCTCAGCGCTGTGCTGGTGGATAAATCTTGTGGGTGGGCTGTGTTTTGCTGCTTGGTAGTAGCCCAGCTGTCTGCTTAATGAAAGCCCGGTAATTCCGTTCGCTCTCGTGTGCGTCTCCGTTCCTCTAACGACAAGAATCAACCAGCAGAGGAAACGGGCATTAGTCCCCACAAGATTTCTTTTCGTTTTTCTCTGCAGCTTAGTGTCGTGGTAGCATCGGTCGCTCTGGCAGTCCTGCTCTGCTGTAACCGGCGTGATTGACAGGACCATGTGCCGTGGTGCAGCTGGAAGTATATCATCTGCAATTTTAGTTGGGTAAATATAGCAGGGAGTCTTGTCAAGCAAAGAGATGAATTGTTCTGGGAAAGGAAGTGTTGTGTCTGTTTTGTGAAAGCGGGAAAAGCTCTCCCCCAACTTCTGGAAAGTGTAAGGTCCGTTCTTGACTTCAGAACAATGAGAGCACAGTCAAATAGTTGGGCCAGCGATGGGCCATGTGTTGTAATGCCCTTATTCAGACAGGCAGTCCCAGGAAACCGGAGCTATTCCACCGATTTACATGGGACGGTTTGTATCGAGCGCCATACTTAATGCTCCGGCGCTAATCTCATTAGACTGGTGTAACTGAGTGCTTTTCACAGCTTTGACCAGAAACTGAATCGGTATTTTCTTGCTAAAAATTGTGGCACAAGAGGCAGACCACTGAAAGCACTGACCATTCATTTCAGTATGAAATCAGGTCCTAGCACACCCTGTGAGCGCTCTATTGTTTAGCAGTTGTCTGTTGTCTCAGTGGCTGCTGCTGGCTTTGGTCGTAGTTGTTAGCACGTTTCATTCGTCACACATAAAAGTCGCCCAAACAGAAGATGGTGATGCATTTATTTTTTCTCCTGCTGCCCCCCCCCCCCACTGCTCTGACCACACTGTGAAACATGCAGACCAAAAGTGAGGGGTGTGCATAAATTCTTTTGATCGTTGTGGAAGGAAACGTTATCAGGTGCTCGTTGGCGAACAGTTGTAACGACGTGAATTACGATGTTCTTCCTAATCCGGGCGCTGCGCTGGAATTACAAACAAGCCGCCGACGCTGACAGATTGTCTTCCCAGATTCCCTGTGACCATGAACTCAGAGCTTTGGTGTTCTAACATGGAGGCGTCGTTCTGACCTGCAGATTGAGTCTTCATCTCTTACTTGACATTGGCGGAGGGTCTCTCCCACACAGGGCCGTTATCACACGGAGAAATCCGTCTCGCTCTCTTGTTGAATAATTCTGTGGATTTCTTTTATTGGCTGACTATCCCTCTGAGACTACAGGAGAGCAGAGAACAGCCCTTCCTGAAACAGATTGTATTTCCTCTCCTGCTCACCTTCTTTTTTTGTTATGCAGAAGTCACTGAGCCTCAGCTACTCAAATCTTCAATTCTTTCTTTTTACTCCCTGCACTCCCACCTCCCCCATCCCTGTGCTGCAGCCAAACAGTCTGCTCCTAAATCCCTTCATTTTTATTCATACAAATACAGGTTTAGAGCCCCTTGCACCCTCCAGATACATAGCCAGAGTGGCCCTTTGACTGACAGCTTTCCCCTTTACATCCAGACAATAACGAAATCCACAAGCGCACCTCTAATTGACTCGAATCACTAGCACGGCGCGAGGAGCGGATGTCTTGGGGGCATGGCAGTGGACTTGCAGAAGGAACACGGCGGAGGATCACTTGATTGCTCTCTAGATGGGCTTCGTAATAATTATCCGGCTTATGAGGCGTTGCAATCGCAGAATTATGGCAAAAATATGAGATTTTTAATCATTTCGCTTTGAATGCTCATATTTCTTTCTTTGATTTCAGTGATACTTGAGGGCCACAACAACAACAACCCTCACTAATTCATCCCATTTTACCTTCATGTCAGTCATCAGGAGAGCATGCACACATGCTCTCCCTCGTCGTCTCATTTCAAGGTCGCGTGCATGCAGTTGTAGGCATCGGCATGCCTCTGGGGATTGCAGCCCAAGCACTTATGAACTGGTTGTGGCCTTTTACCCCCACCTTCAACAGTCTCACCCCTCCCTCCCTCTTTTCTGCCACCTGATCTTCACACATATATCACTCCCAATTGAAGTGGCAGAAGACAACTGGCAAATGCCGATGAAGAGGCGCCATAATTCATGCTGCTTAGCTGCTTATGCAAATATGTTTACTTATGAAGGCATTTTGAGCACAGAGAATGTGCCTCATGGCGATGCTTCACATGTCTGCTGCCAGGCCCCGGCGTCTGAAACCCTTAAGCATGAGATTATGTTCTCATTCCTTCTGTCAGTGTCGTTTTATGACACAGTAAGAAGACGGTGATCGATTCAAGCCGTCCCTTCTATTAATCTGTAGTCTGATTTTTCAGGATAAATAGTCCAGATTAACTCCTGAGTGGACACATTATTGTACTGCTCTCCTACAAACTCTAACACTGGCACTGATGCATCAGGAGGAACTTGAGCTTCAGATATACTCTTTAATTAGACGATGCTGTAAAATAACGCATGTACAGATATGAAATGTTTAATCACAAACGTGCTGTTTTCATTCAACTCTTGTTGCATTAAATAAATACAACAAGTTGTAGAATGAATAAGATGTAAATGGAACAGCACTGGAGCTTTTAGATTGAACTCTTTAAGCAGTGCTGCCTGACAGTTTCTTCTCATTGCTGCCAAAGAAGCAAGCAAACCAAATGCTTTGGAAACAGAATATAAATGTTCGCTGCCTCGGTGTAGCACGGTCCTGGATGCCTGATGGGAGACAGCATGGACTATACAGGTGTGCCAAGCATTTGGCCTACTGGTTTTAAGAGTCCCATCAAAACAGCTAAAAGAAGTAGCCGCGGGTCCTCAGACAGGCTGCCACCTAGTGCTGGTTCGTAGCTGTAAATCTGGCCAGTTAACCGGGGAATGACAGGCAGGGCTTAGGCCCAGTTTGAAGTGGGGATGCAACTGTTGTTCTGTTTCAGACGCTCTCAACAATGTGCTGAGTGGATCGAGAGTCCCACCAGAGGGCTATTAATCATCCTGTCTGTTTGGGTGGGGGTGGGGGGTCTGGACTTAGTCACAGAGGCAGCAGAGAGCTACATGGGACAAAGGGTCG